CAATCAATGTATTTATTCTAACAATTTGTCAGCTCTCACGCAGATTTCTGGTGTTGCAGTTTTTTTTGTAATTATAAAATCCTGCACTTTCTATCAGTATTAATCAAAGAATATACTTGTTTTTAGTGAAATTTTATGTTCAATGTATCTTCATGAGAAAAAACATTCTCCATAAATGAGAAATTTCCAATGATATGTTTTGTAGAACACCCAATTATAATAATACTAGTGGCCCGGTGCATGAAATTCGTGTGTGTGGGGGTGAGGTGGTGTCCCTCACGACCTGCACCCTCTCCAATCTGGGACCGGCAGTTGGACACCCCTCTCGCAATCTGGTACCACTGGCTCCTAACCACTCACCTGCCTGCCTGCCTGGCCACCTCTAACCACTCTGTCTGTCGGCCTTCTCGCCCCCAACTCCCCACTGGCCTGCAAGCCCCCTACTGCCCCCCCCACCAGCCTGATCGCCAACTGCCCCCCACCCCTGCCAGTCTGATCACCTCCAACTGCCCTTCCCTCCTAGTCTGATCACCCCTAACTGCCTCTGCCTCGGCCCTGCCACCGTGGCTTTTTCCAGAAGGACATCTGGAAGGTCTCCTGGTCTAATTAGCACATTACCCTTTTATTAGTATAGAGGATTGCTTTAGTACCTTAATATTTGCAGGCTTTTAGGTTGCTGACTTAAAAAAAACCCACAACAAACTCTGACACCATAACAGGAAATTAGTAATTTAAATGACATGTGAATTTGCTACAAACGTATCAACAATCACATATAGTATCACCAGAGTACCATACAAGCCCAAATAGAAGGCCAGGTTGTTTTGTTTTTAAAAAATATATTTTTATTGATTTCAAAGAAGAAGGGAAGGAAGAGGGAGAGATAGAAACATCAATGATGTTGAGAGAGAATCACTGATCGGCTGCCTCCTGCATGCCCCCTACCGGGGATCAAGCCTGCAATGCAGGTATGTGCCCTTGACCAGAATCGAACCTGGGACCCTTCAGTCTGCAGGCTGCCGTTCTATTCATTGAGCCAAACTGGCCAGGGCTAGGATTTTGTTTTTGAAAATGTTTTTAGAAAAGAAGAAGCCATAAAATTGACTCCACATGAAGCCTGTCCCATTAGTCAGCTTCTCCCATTTTTTTATTTTATTTTGTACAAAGTACTGCTACGGGATAGCCCACATAAACAAGAAACCATCTCATGAGAACTAATTTTGTCTGCTTATAGTGAACCACTTATAAAAAAGAAGTAAATAAATCTGGTTGTTTTTATTTATTTCTGGGGTGTTTCATCACCATTACAAGTGTTTGATGTCTTTTTAAATAAGCATTTAAAAATCACTTTAAAAAAGTAGTACAAAACTTCTAGTTCTGGAAAAATGGAGAAATACTTTTCCACAATCATCCCACTAAGAAAAACTAAAAGTCTTATTTTTTTTTTAGTCCTCAATTTTTTGTATGAAACAAACACAACATGATTCTGAATATTGGAGAGAAGACAGACCAGCTAGGTATGGCAGGACTCAATGAACACCAAGGTGGTGAATTGTGTGAGGTATTTGTTTTTTTGCCTCATACATCCCAGACTCCCCTGCCCTCCCCCCCCCCAAAAAAAGAAAAAGGAAATTAAGAAAAGAAAAAAAACAACCAAAACTTTTAGATAATAGCCAATCTACTACAGGTAAAAAGAACGGCCAAAACCCTTCCCTATGCCAGCAAGGCTAATGGGAAGCCTACACTTCTGCCACTGTGAGGCTTTAACAAGGCACCACAGTCTCCCCTCCAGGGTGAGGTAGAAGGTGTAGGAAGCCAGACTTTCATCCCTGCTGAGAGGTAATGAGGACCACCTTTCCCTGTAGAGTCAGTAGAGAACAAGTGGGTAGCCTGGATTTCTACATCCATCCAAGGATAATGAGGTGTCCCTACCCTGCCCTTCCAGGGTGGTTTTAGAGGAAGCAGAGAGGACACTCAGGGCTTTCACAGCTGCTCAGCAGCAATGAGGTAAACCCGCCCCCTCACCCCCATTTCAGAAGCCAGGTGGGAAGCAGTAAGTAGGCATTCTTGCCTATCCCAGCCAGGGTGTTATCAGTGGAGGCCTACTGACAAGCAGGAACACCCATATCCACCCAACCCTAGGAGTATTCACAACTCCTCTCTCCCTCAGCTGTAATA